TTAAGCAACTTTGTAGTGTCCATGCAATATCGTCTTCTTGGACACCGCAAGTGCACAGGAAAGCTGTCCCGATTGAACGCTAATTCAATTTGTTTCACCATGATCTTCTATACAGTTAATTCGTCAAAAAAAGAAACGCACAGATAGATTTTTAGTAAATTTATTGTACCTAATAAAGTCGATATATTTAATTTCATAATATCATAGATACAAATATGAAATTTTGGAGCTCGATAGTCGTTGTACATGGGCATTGAAAACATTGTCATTGAAGGGCATTGAAAACTGTTCATTGTCATGTCACACAAGGCCACAAGGTTGCGCTGAACTCGTGTGACCGCCCCGGGCAGCAATCACGGCTCTGCATCTCCTCGGCACTGACTGGATAAGTGTACGAATTCTGTCCTGCGGAATTCTGCGCCATTCTGCTTGTAACGCGTTGGCCAGTTGTGGGAGTGTCTGCGGCGTGTTCTGACGTTGACGTACACGTCGATCGAGTTCATCCCAGAGGTGTTCGATTGGGTTGAGATCTGGAGATCCCGAGGGCCAGGGCAAGACGTTGATGTTGGCATTATGAAGTTAGTCTACCGTGACACGAGCTGTGTGCGGTGGAGCGTTGTCCTGTTTAAACAGCTCCCTTTGGTGGTCAATGATTGGAAGAAGGTGAGGTTTGAAAAATTTGATTTATGTAGCGATTTGCTGTCAAATTTCCCTGAACCACAACCAAGTCAGATCACGTGGTGTAGGATATGGCACCCAACACCATGACACTACCGCCACCGAATTTGTCGAATTCACGTACACAATGTGGGGTGAAACGCTCATTTCGACGACCATAAACACGTTGTCTTCCATCTCGCTGGTGAAGAAGAAATCGTGATTCATCGCTAAACCACACTCATCCCCAGTTTCTCAAATTCCAAGGCTGTCAGCTATAGCACCGACGCAAGCCTCGCTGTCGATGTATCTGATGCAAAACAGGCACAATAACTGGTCTTCTGGGTCGGATTCCAGTTTCGCGAAGATGGCTCCTGACAGTCTGGTCCGATATCCTTCTCAAACCAGGAATGCGTCCTTCAGTCTCCGTAGCTCTGGCATTGCGATGACGTAGGTAGAACAGTCGAATGTAGCGACCCTTTGCAGGGGTGGTAACTCTTGGTTGGCCCGTTCTCAGACGGTCTGCAGTGGAATTGAACTGTGTTTATCGGTCACAAAGGCGGCAAATGGTTCATGGGTGGGCGTTGAAGTGGCATGCAACAGAAGACTTCCCCTCTTCGAATACCTCCTATGGCGATGTTTCGATCGGCTGCGCTGAGTCTCGGCATTTTCGAACTTGAAAAATGTTGACAATTGAATGACAAATTATTGGCTTATGCTAGCCTTTTTATAGCCACTACCACGAGTTACGAATGCCATAACTTGCACGTGCATTTTGCTTCACTGTTTCCTCCATGACATTTTTGAACAAGTGTGAAAACAATGCCGTTTATGACATTGAAAATCGACAATGGCTGCGTTTTGACGCACCGTTTGTCGAATATCAGGCCACTAACATTTTCCAATAACAAATATCCGATTTATATACTGGATTTTTTTGTGTAGTCAGGTTCAATGAACTACATACTACCTGTGCGTTTCTTTTCTTGAAGAGTGTTTTCATGCATTATTATGTTGTTTACATTACCTAATTTCTAATGTCAGTGACTGATTTTAAACTGCATGTTTTGGTGTAACCCAGCCAGTGTCCCCAACCCTCGTGTGTCATGAAACACTTTCATCTTTCGCCCTCGTGATCTAACGTTATAACATTTCAGAGCCCAACCATCATCTAATACACAACAGATGTCTTATACATGTTTCTAGTACATATTTCCACAAACATTACTGTTTAGCATGTATAAGGAATGTAACAGTAAGTGGATCTTCCAGTTACCTGACTTACTGTCGGTAATATCAGCAAATAAAAGGACTGTTAATAATAACAATTTTCCCATCTATCACACAATCAGTCGACACTGACACCGCGGTAGACTTTACACTGTTATTTGCGCACCGATCAGATAACTAAAATGCTGGGCGGCGCCTTTGGCCTTGCCTCCCACCATGCATGTAGTAGGAGTAAACGATGATCAGTATGGTCCGGAAATAAACAAGATTCTTTCTTGCTGCTTATCAAGGCACCAATTCATCTGAGTTTTCGCTTTATGTATGTGTGCCCAGTGTATCCAAATTTAATTAGAATGTTTCATATCTACAAAAAAAATATACAAGCTAGATATTTGCCAATCAAACCTGTTAGGTATTTGCCCATAACAATTAGTTATTTGATTAATTACGTCAGTGAGGTTTATCAACACATGTATAATGCTTATAAACGCTTGGTGTGGCAGATGGAAATTGAACATTATGATAGCGTCAGCAGGGATTATAGAGGTCATAAGACATAACTGTAGCTGCTTTTCAGGCCACAGACATTGTCATGTGAACATCATACTTTAATATGTTTTAAGTTACATTGCAGCAAGGTAGATTATTAACAATTTTCAGTGCATATAATGTGGTTAATAAAACCGTAAAAACGTATTTAGATTTTTACTCACTTATTTTTGGACTATTTTGCTTATTTTGATAACATCTAGGTTACAAATCATATCTATCGCTGAAATACACGAGTATAGTTATGGTGCTGTCAAACCTAAAAATGTAATCAGGGCGCCCAGTTTTGACTTACCAAGTGCGTTAAAGTGAGTTTATTCTTAAACATGCTAAAATATATTGATCCCACAAGATACATCTGAGGACTATCTCTCGGACGGTAATGGGTGATGATCTCTTTGATAGTGTTACTGGGAATATGAAGTTAGGTACTTCATATGCTCCAACGTTTTGTCAATCGTCTCAACAGGACCATGACTTTGGTTACATATCGACTCATTCATTCATAACATTCATGCTACTGCGGTCCAAATTGCGGTTCACTAATTATTTCAAGATTCCAGTCAAATTGGGAAGAAACCTCTTTTTTGTTCCACTTGTTCTTCTGTTACACGGGGCAGTGGGGTGGGGTTAACGCTTTGGCTCGGCGCCACGAAGATCCGGGTTCGATTCCCAACAGGTGTCCCCCAGCCGTGGTATTGCTGGAATATTGCTAAAAGCGGCGTAAAACAATACTTACTCACTCTTCTGTTACACATATTTGTATAAGCTTTCTCCTTGCCTTCATGATGCCAGTACTGTGTGTGAAACAAGGGAAAAGATAAGCCTGCTAAATTTATTATTCCTGTCCACAAGATGGTCAGACATACTTATGAATGAGGGATCAGACCCCCAGGGAAACAATAAATGAAAGTGTTTCCTCTTGCAAGATAAACTGTGTGACGTTTCATATACTTGACAATTTCTAGGTCTAAGCAATGTCGTAATTGTCATACCAGCCTGGCAGAAGAGTACTGAAAATATCAATTGGAAACATGTGGAAGGTGGCAAACAAGAAAGAAAAAATACCCAAGGTCATTGAACCTAGTGGGCATGAGGCAGATTTCTTGAATGACGCAGTTATGCGCATTCATCAAACCAACAACAAAAATTCCAAGCACAATCCTACAAAACAGACCAGTCCTAAATACTCCACTTTGCTGGAAGTTACAGTATCTGTATGGTGATAAGATATCGGAATTACACTTTACATTGCCTACAAATGTAAATCTGTTATCTAAATGGGCGATGTTAATTATATAAATATCAATATTGATTATTACTCATTGAATATGTCCTTGATCACTTGAAGGACGGCGACATGAGAGCGAGGTTGAACCTAAACTCAAGCTCGTACTAAACTGCTCGGCAGAAGAAAGTATACACCCATGTTTGATAGTGGCTAAATGAAACAAAAAGGAAATAGTTATTGGATGGAGATGTATTTGATAAGGGTACTATGCATTATGTTATGCTGCTGTGTTTCGGTGACTGTTATCAGCATAGAAACCTTTTGATGACGTTTGTAATATTTTGGTCCAATCGAATTTTCAAGTGTATACTGTCTTAGCCCGGACGTTTAATTTCACTGTTTCTGGATTGAGTGCAGTGCGCGTTTGAACAACATTGACTCACATATGGTTTTTTTGTCAGTTGTTTAACGACACACTCCGCAATATTCCAGCTAAATGTCGGCGTACAGTACAAAATCGAGTCTGGACCAGACAAACCAGTAACCGAGCTTGATGCTGCATGGATTCCCAACGGGCGACTCATGTATAAAGGCCATGACATGTAACGTGAAGTGAGGTAAAAATGGGGTTTAACGTTGCGGTCAAGATTATTGCACGTATATGTGTGTATTCGTGTGTGTGGCTGCTTGTGCTAGTCCGGACTAATGCCGATTTAATAGTTTTAACCCACTGACATAGCCATGCCGCAGTTTAACATGAATATCCCACTCAGACACAATATACTAACCTCGAGCCGACCACTCCTTGTTTTAGAACCCTAAATGTCAAGCGCCAGACAGGGAAACAACAAGTACCATATTTTAACGTCACTGCTGAGAGAGTTTGACTGTTCTGAAATCATATATCTATATTAAGGCGCCATCTTTACGTTAAAGGTAAGAAATACTTTCTCCCACTCAACTTTTGATCTACTTTCTACAGGGTCACGGAATAACCGGTCGTTTAAGATGGCGACTTTCGCCGTACAGAGTTGTATCCTTTAGCCTTACCAGGATCCGCTGATCGTGGTTCGCTTCAATGATGATCTTCGTCAGGACTATATACCCGTTTTTAACGGTATACACTTCAACATTAAATTCACACGCCGTGTTAAAATAATGTTAAAAGATGTTAATGCTCGGAAGCAAAGAAATATAACATTGGAAAATAAGTGATATTATTACTCAGCATTTAATGAGTTAACGGTGTACTGTATGCGTACCTAGCCAACACTTCAGGTCACGTTGGCCCTGAGACGATAAACCGCCTCACACTTGAAATTTTCTAACGCGCAGTGATCCGTGTCAAAGGAAAAAAGAACATTCAGAAGATATATAACCTCAAGATAGAGCACTGAACAAATATACACCTTCGAGAGAATACAAGTCTGTAGAGTGTTTAGAAAACACTTGACTGAATACGAATTAAATGACATACATATGAATGATCTGCACAGTTTATTAGTATGCCTTGAAACAAGCTCACCCAGCCCCAAAAGTGTTACGTGACACGAACACGGATGTTGGAAATACCCCACCTCGAGTCGACGTGTCCAACGCTGAAGGTAAGATGTTTCTACATCAGATATCAACATATATTATGGTGATTTACATCAGAAACCTATTGGATTTGTTGCTTTGATGCATTTGTTAGACTGTGTGTGTGTGTGTGTAATGTATAAATATTGTTGTGTTACTCTTGTGTGTGATGTATTGTAAGACTAAATGTGAATGTAGTGTAGTGTATTCGTAAAGTTACTAGTGTGTGCTGTGATGTATTGTAGGATTACACGTGTATGTGCTGTGATGATTACACGTGTGTGTTGGGATGTATATTACGACTCACGTGTGTGTGCTATGATGTACTGTATTCACTGTATGTATGTATATCAAGGTAAGGGAAGACACATAAACAAGCCATGTTTACTATGAATCGCAACAAGTAACTATGCATAAAAAGACAGGCCACCCTGATTGTGTTGTACACACACCGTACAGGGCATGTACATGAACGTACCTGGCTGGTGGGGAGTTGTTCCCCGTGTATTGTCAACGGTCTGATGAATGTGAATCTAACGCAGTCTATGTGCCAGTCACGTACCCTGTCACAGCTACATGTATACAAGAAGCAGCAAGTGTACACACTGTTAACGAAGAACAAACGCCCACATTTGTTGAAAATGTACAACAGCTACTTGACTATAACGTTGTATTGCACCTCACGAAGGTACATTGAACAAATAGTTGCCATGTGGCTGTATTCCTTAGTAATCTTCCAGCTATTTGAGGGTGGGTTATAAATAATCGAGTCTGACCCAAATCCAGTTTTTTAAAAATTATGAGCTACGACCCGCATCATTGGGGTATAATGACACGCGATAAACCAAGTAACCGATCCATTTAGTCGCCTCTCATGACAAGTACAGGTATCCAGGAACCAATTATTACCCGGAATCCACATGGGACGGGCTGTATTACTTACGGTCGCGGTGAAAGTTGGATGGGTGACCGTTTTCGGGTGATTGTTTCTGGGGCTTCTGTCCGACCCCACACTAAAACACATGTAGCATATGAGGTGTCTGCTTACCCTCCGTTCACTTCGCAGTAAAATGGATACCCGGTAGGATGAAATGGTAATATGACTGTTAACCGTCCAGCGCCCCACGGGCAGCTTGGATTGTATACTCCCCAGGGAGATGAGCATGAAAGTCGTTTTCACACTTATCCAGTGACCGGGGAAATAGTGTTAGTACGTTGAGCATGGATCAAGTGTATTGGGGCTAGCGTGACATAAATACAGTCATTATTATTAGGAAAACGCGTACTGACACATTCACTCACAATGACTTTACGAACAAAGATATTTGAACAGTGAAAAACGTCTCTTACAATGCAACAGTTAATAATCCGTGTGGGCAGAATAAGTCGTGAACTTTCTCTCGAACTGGCATGTGTTGTTATTTAAACATAAGATACATCAGAAACAGTATCCTCCATTATTTCTGTAGATATGTTGCAGTCAAGGTGTAGGCAATTTACAAAGATCATTTCCGTCAGATTGACTAAAGTTATTAAGAAGTTCAAAATGGCTCAAAAACATCACAGAAGACTAATTATGACAGGATTAGAGAAGCCAATAAATTAAAAAATATACAATGACTTTCGCTTTCTTTTAATCCTATCTTTTTCCGTCACTGGAGATGAAATAGAACATAAACATGTTTGAAATTCGTTATCGTAATATACAAAATATATAAATAATGGTTTAACGGCTGAAATATTGTCGCATTTTGTAACTTGCTTAAGTGAAAATTTCAGTCATTTTACACCTTGACTGATCTTACACACCGACTGTAACATATCTATAATCTATCACAATAAATACTGTGAACCTGTTCGCTGCATTAGCTTTAAATTTAAAGATGCTAAAATAGCCATCAAATCAAATTACACTATTGAGCGCGTGAAAAAATTGTGCAAAAGTGAAAACGTTACTTATAGGAAACTTGAAGGTTAAGATGATGACGTCATTTCCATAACAAAGCTTTGGCAGCGAATAGACCAAGCATATTTATCACAATAGAATGGAGAAATGGATGACTAACCGGTCGTGCGTTTTGAAACATTATTTACCCTAGTCGATGTCAAAATACTATGCTAACCTATTTTGAAGCTGTGGTTAACAACAGGTACACCCGTTGAAGACGCTGGTCAATGTCTATGAAGGAATGACATGATGCATTGATTTACATTTATTAGCTGAGTTGTATCAAATTGCAACATTTGTAATTCAATAACCAACGAAGATCATCGGGGAAATATAGAAACAAGACTAGCAATCTCACAAGCAGATACAAATTGGAAGCTGGTCTTGTTCCACAGATCAATCCATGCAATTGGGATACGATGACATGCTTCAACCAAGTCAGCGAGCCTGATCACCCGATCCCGTTAGTCGCCTCTTACGACAAGCATAGTCGCCTTTTACGGCAAGCATGGGTTGCTGAAGACATATTCTACCCTGGATCTTCACGGGTCAGGCGCCAAGTTCACACATGTTTATATACAAGATACCTTTAATTGGAACTTTTTCACAAGAATGGGGTAGAATTATTAATGTCATATTCACAAACCTGGAAACCTGGATATCACAGATAATTACAGAAGAATATCTCTTATTGACTCACTCTGTTACGTTCTGACAAATATTCTGAAACAAAGATTATAGTCTTGGTGTGATATTAACGTGTGATCATACACGAATCTGAAGCTGGTTTTAGACCTGGAAACTCAACTGTTGATCACAATTTTACCCTCTGGTAGAGCGTCTGTCCGGAGAGCGGCAGGCCGGGGTCTCGATCCCCGGCCGCGTCATACCAAATGACGTTGAAAGATGTATTTGTTGTTACCCTGTCTGGCACTCGGCATTAAGGGGCTAAAACAAGGACTGTGCATACAAGTCAGTATACTGTGTCTGAGTGTTATATTTTACGTGGCATGTTATGTCAGTGGGCTAGCAACATAAAATCGGCATTAGTACAGACTAGTACAAACAGCTACACACCCTTCCACACATGCACGCACGCACGCAAGCACGCTCCCACGCACGCACACACGTGCATTCACAACGCCATGTACAGACAATTGTCAGTGACACTTCACACTGAGTGAGATTTCTCAGTTCGCTATACACGTCACTAACTAGTAGTAGAGAGTTCGTTATATACGTAAATTTTATATGATATTGAACAGGAGATAAATCGGGGATTTTTTAACATTTCGTTGTATCCGTTTGTTCGCTATATCCGTATTCGATGTATCCGTGTTCTACTGTATTTCCAAAACTAAAAGTAGATTTTACAGCATCTTCGTTCAAATTTCAAAGGCATTTAATAGGGTTAATCATGAGGTTTTGTTGAAGAGTTTGAGACGTATCGGGCTCAAAGCAACTTTATTGAATTACTTGTATCTATGTATTCTATTCTATCAGTATGAGTAAGAACTCCAACCGGTTTATCTGATAACGTTAATGGTACGTGAAAACCCGTCAGGGATGATGAGCCTTAGGCCAAACAATATTTATCATTCTTCTAAATGCATTACTATCTGATTTGGAGAAGAATGGTGGTGAAGGCATCTTTATAACAGTAGACTTTCTTAATATTTCCGCTTTGCTGTATGCAGATGATGTGTCTTGCATGCCTTACTTCTCTACAACTGCAAAAAGAAAATAAATGGGTTGATAACAGTTTGTGATTCTGCAGGAATGGAAGTGAAATTAAATAAAACGAAAATATTTTTCTTTAGTAGAGGGGGGCCTTGAATGAAGTATGAGAAATGGACATATAAAGACGCACATTTAAAATTGTTAACTTCTAAAAATATTTAGGGATTGTTTACCCCTTAATTATCAGCAGAATTTGAAGATGCTGACATTTTTTTGTAAATTTCAATAAAGGCTCTCAGACAAGATGAAAGCTTTAGATTAAGAGTGGCGTTCATGCTGTGAAAGTTCATCAAAGTGCAACTACTATCAACAATATTAATGATGAATATATTGAATAATATATTGCTCATTATTGAGTCATCTATAACAACATACATACCTCAATATATTGAGTGGCATTTGTCCAAATCCAATGATGTTAGATTATATAATGAGACTAGAAGACAATACTATCCCTCATGATGAGAGCTACTATGCTTTTTGTCTGAAGAAAGATAAGAAGTTCGTAGATGATAAATACCAATTGATGATGATATGTGAACACTACGCTCATCTAACAAAGTAATATGTGCATCCCTTTGTTTTGCAAAGAGAAATGAGTAAACACTGATGTAATATAAATACCTTCGTGTGCGGGATATTACCTTCTAAATAGTTTTACATTTTGGGCTGATGTCCTTTATTACTGAATAGATTTGTCTGTCTGTCTCTCCGTCTGTGCTGTAGATAGTTCATCAAAACATCCCTTCACTAAGCAGGGGCTATGTTTTCTTATGTTAATCTAAACGTTAAACAGTCAAGCACTGGATCAGTTGAATTGGAGCACACCTTAATTACTTAGCTGGGAAATAATAAACTGCTGGAGGATCCAGAAGGGGTTGGGGAGTGTGGTGTGGTGTGCTGTGCTGTGGTTAATTAATACCGAAAGAGAGTCATTTTCAAAGCGAAATTGCGGTCTAAGGGAGTTAACTCTTCCTGCCATATTACACAATCACTGCACATATTGCACCCGGCCATCTGATTATTGTTCAGTATAACAATAAAATTCAGTATAAAACCCAGCTCAC